AACAGCAGTCATGCTCCTTATGCTCATTCTTTTTTCCCTTGCACATCCCCTCAACAACAACAACAAAAATAAATCTTTTTACTGTGAGGGTGACTGAGCACAGGCTGTAGAGTCTCCATCCTTGGTCCTGGGCATCCAAAACTGGTCCTGGGCAACCAGCTGTAGGTGGCACTCCCTGCTTGAAGAGGGGGTTGGACCACCTCAGCCATTCTGTGATTCTGTGAATTTCTCTGTTTATATGCATATATTGATGACAACAGACTCAATCTTTTTTCCTTGGAGGAGGAAGATCACAGGGAGACACATGGGCCCAGTGGAGATCCAGGAAAGCAGCTGGCTAGCTTTTGGGGAAAATGACCTTACAGCTGCTGGGAATGAGCCAGCTGAGAGATTTACATGGGAGCCCAGACCAGAAGCAAAGGCGAGTTTCTCCATTTGTGGTTATGAGCTGTATGACACTGAGGAATAAAGTTCCTCTAGATTAAAGATGTTCCTCCCTCCACATGGAAGCACTCACACCCAGCCTACAGAAAGGCAGTGGTTTCACTTACCTGTGTTATTTGTAACTGCTCTGTTACTATAGTTCATATATATAAAATAAAGCCAGTCGAAGACTCTTAATTAAAGCAACTACTGTCCCACCTGGAAGAAATTGAGACTTACCTCGATGGGCTTTGAGAAGGCTCCAGCACCTCAGGTAATGACTGTGTCTACAACACATGGAGCACAGTTTCTTCATCCTCCTGCTGCTCCTGAGCAGGACTACCTTTCAGTACTTAAAGGGGGCTTATAAGAAAGATGGGGGCAGACTTTTTAATAGGGCCTATAGTGATAGGAGAAAGGGTAATGGTTTTAAACTAAAAGAGGGTAGATTCAGACTAGATATAAGGAAGAATTTTTTTACAATGAGGGTGGTGGAACAGGTTGCCCAGAGAGGTGGTGGAGGCCCCCTCCCTGGAAACATTCAAGGTCAGGTTGGATGGTGCACTGGGCAACCTGATCGAGTTGAAGATGTCCTTGCTCACTGCAGGTCCAACCTGGACTGGGTGACCTTTAAAGGTCCCTTCCAACCCAAACTATTTTATGATTCTATGATTTTGTACCTTACCTTTGTGGCCATGCCTGAGAGCTGTCTGTATCTGCTGGGTTCATGGTTAAGGAACACAAGGCTTTTGCTGGGCTGGCAGCTGGGAGAGCAGCAGCACGCCAGGATGAGGAGGACCCTGTTGATGGAGCTGTGCTGGGGAGGAAGCCTTACAACTAGTGCTGGTTTTGGAATTTTTGTGGGGAGACCAGATAAGTAATGTGATTGCAATAAGAGGTGCTGTATAATGTGCATGTTCTTTTAACGTGCTTTAGACGGGCAGGGGAAAGGCTGGTATGATCAGAACAATGTAATAAAACAACTATTAATGATGTGTGAGTAGGAGGGAAGATCTCTCTAGTAAGAAAGTGCAGAAAAAACCCAGCCAGATCAACAGGAGGAGCCTAGGGTATGCAGCTGCAGCAAACCAGCCTGCCGTAGGTGATACGGCTTGGGGGAATGAGGTACTGCTGCCTCCCGTTCCTCCGAGAGGGAGAAGGGAGAGGAGGCTATGCCAGGCGCTGGGCTCCGAACACGTCTGAAATGACAACAGAAGGTGGTATCAGACAGGAAAAACAAATGTATAAAAAGCTGGCATGCAGGTAGTGACAACTGGGACCTACTGGATAAAAACAGTGATGGGAAAATGCTGCTTCTGTGGTGGAATTGGGCACACAATGGCTAGGATTCAGGGAAGAAGGAGACAGGCCAAGCCAAGGCATGGAGTGGCCCACACTGTGCACATAAACTTGAATTAGACAAGGAAAAGAGAGAGGATTTGGAGGTTCTGCTGGGGAGAGAAACAAAAGAAATAATGCACAGTCTTCCCTCTATTTTAACTTTTGTATCATGTAAATGTACCTATTTTATTTGCCATATCAATTCGACTTGAAGGCTTAGTTACCAGAGAACATTTCAACTTTAAAAAAAAAAACCAAACGTTTAAGAACTTCTATGTGCGCTTTTGTTTTTTAATTAAAAATGATTCACGAATGTTTTCCTTTTGTCTAAGCCTGACTTAATAATTTATGGGAGATTTCTCATGCTGAATTTTCAGCTACATGAAGAGACCCACTTCCTTAACAGGACCACTATATATTCATTCCTCGACTTGTCATCTACTGCAATGTTCACTGCAGTAAAAATAGGCAGAGCTGAGAAATCTTTAGGTACAGCTCCAGGTTTCTGTGTGTGGATTTTCACGCTTGTAAGACAGTCACCTATTCTGCAAGCAGTAGTGCCAAGAAGGAAACTTGAGACTTTCCACCCTCTGCAGAGGATGTTACTACTTAACACTGAGAAGACTCGAGGGCCCACTCCTCATATGCACAAGCCCAACAGTGAAAGTATTTGCATGCTTGAAGTTTTTCACAACTCAGTGCTAAGCGACACTGTTCCCTCGGCTTCCCTCTTCCCAGCACACATGCACAAAGAGAAAAGCTTGGCCGCTACCGGATGCTTTTTGCTTTTATCACGGGTCACACAGAATCACAGAATGGCAAGGGTTGGAAGAGACCTTAGGAGATCATCTAGTCCAACCCTCACTACATCCCCTACAACACAGCTGTGCTGTCTTCTCATCCTCTTAGGACCTGCCAAGGGCACATAGAGGTGGAAAAAGTAAAACTGCTGGTCTTTAAATTGAAATGCCTGCTCTTACCCGGTTTTAAACCACTGTCAGAGCTTAGGAGCTGTCTTTCCTGGACAGCAGCGATAGTACTCACTCGGAAAGCTTAATGAAGCAAGGCGTGCTGTATGCCCCTTCTGTGCTTGCTTCCATGCCTGGTACCCCTTCAGGAACCAGCACTGCCCACTAAGTTCAACAGCCTCAGTGGGAGCCTGGCCTTTGCTTCTGCTCTGAGAGCGCCCTTCCAGGCAGCGGGTCCTTGCTAGCTACCTGGCGTACAAGTAGGGCAAGAATGTAGGATAAAACTACTAGTCAAGAGATGTGGGTCACTCACTTACCTAATAAAGAGTTAAAAGCCATTTCACAAAGCACATTTGTTGCCTTTCCTAGGATGCTCCTGCATCTTGAAAAAAGCCTAAGTTAGTGGGAGTGAGTGACAACTTCATACATCAAAAGACTTCTTGCTGGCAGGTTAGCCAGGGCATTTAACTCACCATCTACTAAATTTTCAGTTTCCATTTCTCCCTCCTGCCCGTGCAGAGAGAGAGGCTGGTGACCAGTTTACTAGCTACAGCTACCTGAATGAGCAGGCGCCTACCTCTAGACAGAAAGCGGGCTCAATGCCTACCGGGCTGCTCTGGCAGTGAGCAACGGGTTGGTGCCTCTCAAACCCCCCTGTACCAGGTTGTGTCCCCTGCCACCCCGCAGATTGGACAACAGGGGTTATGAAAGCTACCAGAATAATTAATGTAAAAATAAGAATTGTCTGTGCAGTAACAGTCGTTAGAGCACAGCTTGGCTTTAATCCCTGTGCACAGCACCAACTGCAGGCTTTCGCAGCTCCCATGGAGGTGGAGGAGTCCTCACTGGCACCAGGATAGATGCAGCTTGGTCTAGTGGAGAGCCCTCACTCGGTGCTTACACAGGGGTCCAGATGATACTGGGTCTAGCGGAGTGCTGATCACTTTTAGGACTCCTGCCCAGACACACACACCACCAGTTAAACTGAAAGTGGCAGCTGTAAAATAAAACTGGGAAGAGGTTGCAGCCTTTCACACCAAAAACTTCTTGAACTTTACAGGTACGGAATCACCCCATGAGCACTACGAGACAGCTGCCACGCTGGGAACGCGGGATCCAGCAGGCAGCTGGGACCAAGGCAGAGTATTGCTGGGCTAACAGCAACCTGCCCAGCTTTGCTCGCTGGCTGTTCTAATGTTTAGAGCTTGACTGCTGCCACAGGGCTGCGTGACTGGCAGAGATCATCAGCCACAATGAGTCCCTGCTGAAATTGGTGCTGTCAAGTCAGTGGCAGCATCACAGTGACCTGAAAAGTTGGTATTATTTAAAATTATTTCAACCGCATTTAATTTACAAAAACACAAAATGTACCCAACGACCTCTGGCATTTTAATGTTTAATTGCAAGGAGTCATCCTCTGATAGCTGGGGAGGCTGCATTTAAGGTGCTGAAAATAAGTATTTTGACTTCCCATATTACAAGCACTAGTCTTCTGTTATACAGTGCAACTTCCTTGGAGACACCCTGCTCGTTTTCATGGAGAGCTACAGCAGGCAGGTCACCGTCGACTTCAGCTCTGTGGTACCTGTGTAAATGTCCAGCAAGTGTAGCATTTTTCTCACAGAAAACACTATTTTTGTCTTGTGGATGCTGACCTTGCATTCCAGAATGGAAACGCAGTATTAATCTGAAAAGATTCTCCTATTTTCCCGGTCTTCCTTTTATTGCCATTATGAAGCTTTGAAAACTAGGCTTTTCTTTGTAAACCAGCTGAGATTCTATTGAAATATTCTGTGTCACTGCCATGTGGCAAAATGAAATATTTCTGCACCAGGAAGTACTCCCTTCTAACCATGACATCTGAATTAATGAGTCTCTTGCTAACATGTTTTGAAAGGATTTGTCCATCAGTTGCTAACAATTGAGAATAAACCATGGTTCTAGCCTCAGAAATTCAATACTAGAGCAGTAACTCTGGCAGTATCGTCAGAGGCCAGAGAGACCTGAGAAAATGTCAGAATGTAAGAGTTCACACACCAAAGAAAAGGGAATCTTCTGAGCCAGGGTTTCTCTTCTCTGCCTCAGTTACCTGCCAGAATCTATAAATTTGCAGTTGCTTTCAATGTTTTTCATTGTTTTCATGCAGAGTAAAGGAAAGATAATAAGGAAAGATGCTGTGTATTTGATGGAAGGAAATGAACAAGAAAGGGAAACAAAACGTACAAAATGAATTTTTATTAAATGAAAGAAAATCTGTTTTGTGGGTCAAATATGAAATAGAATATACAAAAACTTTACATCAGATCTCTTGTCAAAGAAATGAAACCCTACTTAAACTGAAGTAGCACTCGTTCTTTCCAAGACAACACGAATGGGTGAATATGCTTCTTATGGCAGTACAGGATCACACAGTATGCTGTGCTAAGTTTCCGGTTACAGAGAAGAAAAGTTAAAAATCTAAACGATGTCCCTAAAGAACCCAACTATTCCACAAAGTAACTTAAAAACATGAGTTTTGATCATTACTTATTCTCTTAGAAGCAAATGACAGGTGGGTCAAGTGCAGAGTTCACAAAGCTTGCATATCACATTCTCAGTTTCTATACAAATATAAATTGTTCTATTTTATTTTTAAAAATCCTTTTGTATTTGATAGCATTTATTTGTGGAAAAGGATGACCAGCTCATCAGGTTCCTGCTGTACTACCCAGACAATTCTATCTCTTTTATCTCCCTTCTTTTTTTGAAGACTGTTACCCATAAACCACAGACTGCAATATTTTTAAAAAGTTGCTGTATGTTTAATCACAAATCTTTGTATCACTGTCCTGTATATGAAGGTTCTGCAGAGCTCCTAACATGTCTTTGGCATAACACACCAAGTCCCATTTAATACTTTTTTTGTTTAAAAAAGTATATTTTCCTTTAGTAAAACACCTTAAAAACATCTGTTTCCAATTTTGTAAAATAATGTGTCACCTCTTGTGTTGCTTTGCAAAATATACACACACATTTTGGAAAACATTGAGTACTGACATAAGGGACTCATCTGAAGTCCGGTCTGTTTATGAGAAGTAAAATATAATTACAATTCCATCTTCTGCGTGAATGTCACATGAAGTCGTTCAGCTCAGCTTCAAGTGCTGCTGCCATTTCATCTGCTTCAGAACTGCTTCCTTCCTCATCTTCATTGCTAGATTCTTTACTGGATTCACTGGCAGCATCATCTTCATCCAGTTTGCGCTTGTGACCCCTGGAAGGGCAGACAGAGATAATGTCCATGATCTGAGGTGTCTCATTGCTTATTAACACAGCCAACTATTTAACAGGAGAAAAAAATGCAGCTAAAGGACTCAACTTTTTTTCAGGTCTAGAGAAAAAGTACAGCACTTGCTTTTAAATGAACGGTCAGAAGTTAGTTCACACCATTGACTTTTAAATTTCTGTTATTTATGGTCAGCTCTAGGTGCAAAGAACGAAGTACTGTTAGTTTTATTTCTCCCGTTCTTCTGAACAAGGAATGAAACCAAAGTATAAGACTGTTTGAAAATAATGAGTTGATTTACTTTCCTCTCACATCCCAAAAGTAAGAAGAAATCCGTTGTGTGAATGAGACATTACCAAAATACATTTTATGTTGTTATATGATTTTGAAATATTCAAGTTGCTGCTTTTTTATAAAAATAAATCCTTAACTGATCAGCCAAATCTCACTGCACCAGGTTCTACACTTTGATGCTTCCAAACGTAGGGGTCTCGTTCTTCCCTTTATGTCTCTTTGGATTAGTACTGCCAGGCTGAACAACACATTTCTTAGCATCTCTGGAGAATTAACCAGTTTAAACAGGAAGCTGATGTGTACCATACCCTGCTCAAGGAATCATGTTCCTGGTTGTGAAAGATCTCCAAGGAAAATCTAATGCTTCAACTGGGACATAGCCATGAGCAAAAGAATTTGGATTTGTGGAATCCTAAAATCTCTTTTTTCTTGCCAAAAGGGAATTTTATATCAGGCATATACTTCTGAGACAAAAATAAAGTTGACACTTTGCATTGCACAGAATTCATAACGAGCTGTAGAAACACCTTCAAAATCCTTCCTCAATCATTTGCTCAAATTTCAAGCAGAGAAATATATGCAGAGGGGGTATCTCTTAACTTTAACTGTCCTTTTCATTGCTAGGTGGGGTTTCATTAAGAAGAGAATGCATTCATTTGCTATAATGAAAAATTAATAAAATGATCTTTTATCTTTTAGCAAAAGGCAGTAATTTAACAACAGTCCCTTTACTTCTGAGAGTACAGAGAAGTAGCATGTGAAAAATGACCTTTGATAAATACTGACTTGAACTATGTATATCCAGAAGAAATAAATACAAAGATTAAGTCATACTTGTGAGCTTGAAAGCAACACTGAAATACAAAGCCATTTTTATTTATACAGACATTCTTATTGGCATTTTCCCAGAAACATTAATTCTCAGGAGCCCAGGCTGCTTGATTTGTAGGGTAGATGAGTGACACCTGACCTCCCCTTTCTCAGCTTTTCCAGAAGATGGACAAGACAGGATGTGAAGTCAGGAGGGGAGTCCGAATCAAAACGGGAAGCAAGCAGTACTGTGTTTGTTACCCTGTTTTTCCTTTCTGCTGCACCAGTGGACTGAAAGACACACTGCTGCTGCTTCCTCGCAGTGATGTTAGGTGGGTTTTGCTGTTCAGCATAGGGTGGTAGGAATAATACTCCAGGGAGGTAAGGCTAAAGCCCTGGGATTCAGTCTGGGGTCTAAATCCCTAACAAGGAAAAATGGGATGAGGTGAAAGCGTATTTTGCTATTGAAACTGAAATGTGGCCTGCTGAGAGAGTTACAGGACACTAAATGCAGCCTAATTCAAAATAAAAAGCAGTTTCTCAGGCATAACACTGATTTCCCTGCAGCCTACATTAGCAGGCAGTTTGGACAAGGAAGCACTCAGACTAAAAATGCCCAGTTGGAAGAAACCTTAGCATATTTGCATTAAAAGCTATATGAGCGTATGGAGCTTGAGTTTCACTTGCTCGCTTCATGATGGTTTCAGCCTTCTGAGATACAGCGCTATTTTAGGCATTAATGATACTATTAGCTAGAGAAAAGCTAATTGGGAATTAAAGAAAGCTGAAAGAGCCTTACTCAGCAAAAGAAGAAAAAGTTGTGCGTACGTAACAAGCGTGGATAAGAAGAATACACGTAGTGCTAACCGAGAAATAAAGATAAATAAAGACATGGAGGGAATCTATAGCACAGTGCTCACAGCTGAGAACATTCGTATTCATCTGTTTCTAACACTGCATCTATGGAAATTGATGGTATCTACCAACTGAAAAATAAAATTAACAGTCTGACAGCTATAATTTGCACATATGAAACATGTAAACACAACCACAGATGATGTATTAAAGAACACAGCAGGACAAGCGGTTTTTAGAGCCAGCCCAGACACTGAGTTTGCTGGGACCTAAATCAATAGCAAAGATCCCGTAGAAAAAAGGTCTATGAAGAACCAATACCTCACTGCCAGCTGATTATTTTTTAAAAGTGAGGAACAGTTCATTTATTAAATAATTAAGGCAAAGACTAGCAAAATTACTAATTTATGCAGCAAAGCCACCTTTTTATTTAAATCTACTCCACAGCAACTAGATTTCAGTGAGGACAATCAACAAACTACAGGGACCTGAAATAGTGTATCTAGTTAATTAAAGAATGGAGCTCCAGTCTAAAAAAAGGCTTTCCAGAAAACTTCAAGGGACAGTCCTGACATATTTTCATCCCTCATTTGGTTGTATTAAACAGTACCTTTGGAAATGCAAAAGACTGCATGTGATCTGTTTTGTCAGTTCTTGTTCTTTCGGAAGGCTAATACCACAGCTCTATTCAGTCAAGATATGAAAACTGCCTCGCTCACAGGGAGGAAAAAACCATCAAAACCAAAAAAGGAAACACAACTAAGTATTAGTCCTCCACTAGAAGAAACAAAAACCTCTCAAGAATATGAGTATTTTTCTTATTAAGATATAAACACCTTTCACTATTTGTGTGCTGTAAACTGCAGCTATTCCAAAAACATTTAAATGAGTATTAAGAAATCAAATGCAAAGCTAACTCTGATGGAATTATAGAGAAACAATATCAGTAAAATAGTCCTGCATTTTTTATTTGCAAATTCAGAAAAGAGAGATAACACCCCATTAATCGTTTCTGTCTTCAAAGAAAAGCACTATATCCCCATGGCAGCATATCTATTAGCATAACAAACAACTTAAAATGTATACTTTCCTCATTATTTTGTGCCCACTCCTTGTCATTTCCAGTTCAGAGCCACAGCACGTAACACTTTTGAGTGGAAAAGTTAAGCACATTCCTTAGTAATATTTAGAGAAAATGATTCAGCAGTATGTCGCAGGCTTCCGTTAGCCTAATTTGCATTTTTAAAAGGAATTTTTCTTGACTGCTATTAAAAACCAAACATATGGATAATAACTACGTATCTTTAACCTCATAAATGAACAATTAAACTTTCCAAAAGACTGAATTTAGAACTTAAAATATCTAACAACTCTGTGAAAAAACTCGTACAATTCGTATTTCCTTTGCCTTTGCATTAAATATTTTTCCGTTGTAATACCCAGTACTAGGAGGCCCACCAGTTCACGTGATGGAGAAATCTTTTTAAGAGAACTACATTTTTAAAAACCACGTATTCAAATCAATTATCAAGAGACTTAAATAAACTACAAGCATAATTCATAATGATATTAAAATAAAAAACCCCTTGTAACTATAAACATACAAAAGTTATTTTTAGGAAAATTTAATCTACAGAATGCTAATGAGAAATCTACTTAAGTGGTATTCCACATGAAGAGACAGGAAGAGAAGACATTACAAAGTTGCAACAGAGCATGGTGTAAGCATGTGAAAAATAGCACAGAAAAAATACTGAAAATAAAAATGTATTCAGCTCTTGATCTGTTAATATGATCACTAAAATATGATTGCAAAGTCCAACTACAGGTGGAATGAAAATTTCATTCTTATAATTTCAATTTAATTTAGTTCAACTTAAATTTAGTTCACTGGAAGAGCCATAGGGAACAAAGCAGTGAAAAAAAGCCCAGTATTAGTTGCTTCTATTATCTTAAGGCCATTATTTATAGTTAGCTGAAAATAAATCGTGTTGGAAAAAACATGTTTTTCTATTAACTGAAAAGCACATTGTCTCCGGTCTGTTTTACATCCCAGTTGCACCCTTTAAAAGACATACGGTGCTACATTAAAATAGAAACATCTAATACACAAAGGAACTCAGCGGGCAACATCACCCTTGTTTTAAACAAAGCAAACCTAAATCTTTTCCAAACCTTGTTTTAAACTTGCAAAAGAACACTACAGCAAGTATACATATAAACGCCAAATACCCACAGCCCCCATCCCTACTCTGGTAAGAAGTAAACACCTAAATTATTGCAAATTGACCTGATTTTTTTCAATAGCTCCTAAAATTGGTACAGTAACAAAGTACAGTCTGCAGACTAAATGTGTTTAGACTTTTAGAAGTAATCAGCTTATAGCATTGACACCATAAATCAGGACTTAAATTTGGTACCAAATACAGTCAAGTTACCCTTAATGAGAATACTCGCATAGCAGCCGTAAGCACTGTGGAAGGCAATGTTTTGAAAAGGGCATTCTGAAACAGCTTGCTGCCTTCCAACAGCACTGCAACCCTGCAAGTCCCCCTGCGCTGCCCCAGGTGCACCTTGGCAGTCTGATGTGAAAGGTCTGTCCCACAGCCCTGCCTACCTACACACCTAGCCCCCAGCTTTCTGTATGCTTCTTCCGTAATGGAGAGAAGGGTGATGCTGAGTTTGGTAATGCAACAGGAATTTGACTCCCTTCCATAGGAATTCGACTATGAGAACAATTTATTTAGATAAACTAGTCCTGTAGCAATGCCCTATCAGAGCTGGTAAACCAGAAACCTGTTCTTCAGCCAGTTTTGAAGATGCCAGCCCAGTACTTGACTAACAAGGTTAAAGGATGTGAGATCTGAGAACATACAGATTGAAAATCAATGTCGTGGGCATTAATCCATTACAGTGGACAGACAAGATGATTAAATTTTCATGGAGATGTTCCAAGTTTTGCTGTTACATTTTCTTAACATGGGACACATGACATCTTCTAAGCATGCTCAACACATTAGTGAGCAATT